CCAAATATTTGCGGACGAGAGTCCGGTCACTGGAATGAAGGTCTTCCCACCAACTTAACAACCTTGGGTGAATGTTTGTTACCATGCCAAATCTGGGGATTTCGTGCCTCATTTTCTGCAAAACAAAGTGTTAGACCCTTACCCCACCGGACTCGACTATTTGAACCAATAATTAGCAGAATGGCATTTAGTTCTCCAAATAAATGCATAGAATATGGTGTTGTCCGTTTGGGTTCCAAGGAAACCCAGTGGACTTTGGACAAGGCTATCTTAAAGAGTCATTATGTGGACAGCATATAACTGACTCGACTAGGTTTGACAGTGATGCATGCACAGTTAAATAGAATAGGGTTTTTATGGGGTATTAGATCGGTACCCTTGAGCGGACAACTCAAGAGGGAAAGGCACAGAACCGTCGACTGCACCGGTGATCGATTGATTTTATCGCAAATATGCCTTTGCCAAATTTAGGGGGTGATAATATTGCAAGAGCGCAACAACTCATTATAAGCGTTGCTATGGTATTTGTTTGGCACGAGTGGAATATGAGGTTGAAGATGAAATTACAAAAAAAATGAAACAAATTGTCACGTATTTTCACGTTCATAATGATTACAATAATTGCTCGAAAATTGCAAGGGTATTGAAGGAAAACAGTAAATGAAAGCGTTAAAGAAAGAAAAAGAAACAAAAAAGCCAAGTCAGTTTCGAATAAAGACATTAAATAAAGCAATAAATGAAAACCATAAAGTCACATATAACATGAAGTGGTAAAAGCCTAAAGAAGTCCCCAGATGAGTCGCCATGTTGTCGACGCTCCCTTTTTCTCGCGAAATCGGGTTTACGACATTTGGGAAGAGAACTCTATTCCCGTTTGGAAATTGGGTTTTTGGATTTGAAGAGTCGCCACCTAATGATTAAGTGCATTAGGACACCACGAGTTTTGAGTTGGAAAACCAGAGTTCGGGTAAGGGCTAGAAATTATCTCGAGGGGAAGGTGTTAGCCACCCCTCAAGATCCACTAGTGTGGTTCCCGGCCATGCTATGTTGTGACTTTAAATACAAACGAGCATACAAATAATTCCACATAAAGATTGCAAGTAGGTATGTATAATGGTTGACAAGCATGTTCGACATTAAGATCGAGGTGGTCTCACAACTTGTTTAAAGGAATGTCCAAGTGCAGAAAATTAAACAAAGAAGTGAGTGAACATAAATTTTAAAAGAATAGTGCAGGAATTTGAGGAAGAATTTGGTGACTGAAACGAAAGACAGAGTTTTATTGATAATACAATGTTACATAAAGGAAAGGGGTCCTAGGTTTGTAAAACACATGGATCATCCACACAACACCGGTAGCCAATCGTACGCATGGTGTTATCGCGTGATCATCATCTCCATGTCTACCCTTCCCACCCCGTTAAGGTGTTAAGCGCGGAATGGTATCATTACCTACTACATGCTATTACCCGTCCCACCTATCAGTCCTGGAGTCATTTGGGACTACTAATCCTAAAGGGGAGGGAGCTTGGCTTTTAAGAGTTTTAAAAGGATAAAAATCTAGGGCGACAGTCAAAACACATAATGCAATAAAGGGGAACAAGTAGCAATTAAGGGCTCAAACAGGCCTCCTCATTTTAAGAAACAAATTGTTTAGCATGTCTTACACATACTTGATTTGGTGTGAATTAAATTAGAGCGTAGGTGATGATAGGCTATAATTACGTATAAAAGTCGCTTATTACACTCTAATTTACTGCACTTTAATTGAGTTTGCGCTTTAATCGCTAGTGTTTTGCACTAACGGTGTGTTTTATGCCTTGTAGGAGTGATTCCAAGATATATAGATGTTATGGAATGAATTCAAGTGATTTGGAGCTTTGAAGTCAGAGTAAAAGCTCAATGAATTAAGCCGGGATCGTGTTCGGGGGTCAAATTTGATAATTAAGTACGAACGAAGACTCGAGGAGGCATGTTTTGCACTGTCTAGTAAAATAGACATAACCTTTTGCTCCAAACTCCATTTGGACTCCACAATATATGGTTGGAAAGCTAACTTAAAGGGCTACAACTTTCATGTTTTACGTTTTTCCAAATTTCAAACGGAACAGGGTGAAAAATGCTGTGGCAACCGTGACCGCAGAACTGACCGCGGCAGAAAATCAGAGAGCTTGTCTGGCCGCGGTCCTACCGCGTTTTGGCCGCGGCCGCGCCGCTCCACGCGTCAAAAAGAAGTCCTATTTCGTCCGGGACAAGGTTATTTCAGCCCTACACTATTCCAACTTGTATAAAAGGGGTCCTAAACCTATTTTGAAGGGAGGAGGACACACTTTTGACATAATTTAGACCTAATGAGGCTAAGGAGACCGGAGATTCGACCTAAGGAGTCATGAACACAATAGGAGCAAGGCGCGGAATTCTTCAACGAGTTTTTCCTTCTTCTTCCTATTTTTTTCATTGTTGGTTATGAATTTTAGTATTGTAGTTTTACATACTATTAAGAATAGCTAATTCGTTTTCTAGGGTTTTGATGGAACACGTTGGGGATGATCTGGTTGTTATATTAATATAGTTTTGAATTGGTTGTTTATCTCTATTTGTTCAACTACGTTTTGATTGTGGTTAATTGAAAGGATCCTCAATTAGCCGTTCCTATTTATTATGTATCTGCTTGAGAGAGAGTGTATATTTAGGTAGTTGTTTGAACAACATCACTCCCGGAGTATAGGCGAGAGTCATAACCGAGGGTTTAGAGGTTGGATTAGAGATAACGATACCTCGGGCGCGATCTATGTGAACTGTAATGTGAATCTAGCTAGCGTAGCTTGAGAGAGTGCGTCTAGTAAATTATCATAATTGCTTGAGAGAGATTTATGATAGCTGGGGAGTTCATGATTGATAGAGGCAACTAAGTCAAAGCTATAAGAAACATACAACTAATGAAATCAACAATTGGGGAAATCATAACTCTAGACCTCCTTAATTTAGTCTCCAAACCTTTGTCTCGTTAGTTGATAATTTTACCGTTTTATAGTATTTGTTGGTTAATTAGTTAGATATAAAAATCTTAATATTATAATTAGAAATTGTTCAAATTTGTCTTCTTTGCGATATTGAACAATTCCAGCGAAACCTTAGTTCTCTGTGGGATTCGACTCCGGACTTTTAGACCGGTTTATATTTGCAGCGACCGCTTATCCTTTTTAGGACTAGAGTTGGGCGTGATCAAATTAGGATTATATTTAATTAGTATTTAATTGAATACTAGTTTAATTAAATAGTATTTTTTTTAAAGATTGGACTTTTCCCGACGATGGATCTATTAGACAATTTTCTTGAGGGATTTAAGTCTAAAGAAAAAAACAAAAAGATTTTCTTTGTAGGTAGTGTAATAATTCCCCCTTGGTTTTTCTTTGTGTCGCGGTTCTTTTCCAAGGGTTTTATTTGAACCGGGTGTAGTTAGTTTTTTTTTTGGGAGTAGGAGCCATTGTGTTGTGTTTTGAATTGAAGCAATATCTCTTGACTTGGTTATGCCTTGAGAATAGTGAGTACTTTGGCTGTGACGCTTAGGCTCAGTTTTTGACTCTTGCATAAGTACCTTAAATTGTATGATTTTAAATTTGCTTAACTGCTTTGACTAGAGTGTCTATGAATCCAATCCTGAGTGAGTTATGTGCCATGTGTGTGTAAGGTTTTGCGTTATTCAGTGCATTGCATTTGATGCCTAGAACTTGCCCTGTGTGTTTGCAAAGCGAAATAGTAGTTTTGTTCAGTCTTGGAAGTGATATAGGCGTTTTCTTGTTGAGCCAGATATGTATATTTNCAAATATAATCCGGTCTAAAAGTCCGGAGTCGAATCCCACAGAAAACTAAGGCTTAGTTGTATCTGTTTAATATCACCAAGAAGACAAGATTGAACAATTTTCTAAATTATAAAGATTGCGACTAAAACTGAAAATAAATAAACAACTGAAAACTAACTATGCTTGAATTGTAAACAGTTGCAATAAAGGTCTAAGGTAATGGTTTCTCCCGTTGTTGATTTCCTTGGTTGCATATTTCTTATAGTTGTGACTTAGTTGCCTCTATCAATCATGAACTCTCCAGCTATCATTGGGGTTTTCGGGTTTTCAGGTTTTTTGTTACTTACATATTTTTTCAATCTTACTTTGTTAAATTGTGATAAGTAAATATCTATTTAGTAAAAATATAAAAAAAAAATTGACAAACATATTATCGATAAAATATTCTTATCGGAGAATACTATTAGTAACACATAATAATTATTTTTTTAGTCGCCTGATAATAATTTCTCGTTGATATCACTTTCAGGTTAACCAAATTTAGTAATTAAACATAAAAATCAATGTGATGCCTAAATATTAATAACCACTTAACATTCAAAAAAGATATAAGAATTCAATAGATCTTAACATGTGTTATGAATATGGAAGAACAAAGAGATAGACGCATTTCAGTAACACTTGATAAGAAAGTGATCATACAACCCATTACTTAAGGTCAGTAAATATGGAGCACTTCATATTCTATTAAAATTTATATCCCGCAATAGAATCCCAAATATTTCTAGACATTTTTAAAGAAAATTCTGTATAAAATCCTAAAAATATATATAAAAATTATATATTTATATATCGGGTTGGTTCGAGTTTTTTTTACTCAATACCAAACCAAGTCAGATTTTTTAATCGATTTGATTTGACTTTTCAATTTGGTTCAATTCGGTTGTACACCCCATATAGAGGTATGACGTACTCCGTTGTCTATGTCCCATTTCATAATAATAGAGTAGATGAATAGCCAAGGTCCTTAAAAAAAGGAAAAAAAAAAGTATATCCAATTCCTACGTGGGAATGGACCCATTTTGTGCACTAGAATACAGAAAAAAGGAATAAACCAAAAGAAAAAACAATAATAATAATAATAATAATAAAAAGAGGACTATTAAATGGAGAGGGAAAAACAGTTCAGTGCATACATACACTAGGCAGAAGGCAGAAACAGCTTCGTTCCTCGTTGTTGACAAGTAACACCTAAAACAAAAAACGGGAAGCGGTTTCATCTGGATTCTTCTTCCTCATTCCGATTCTTGTAATCTCTTCTTTTTTCCTCCGCTATAAATTCTTCGTTAACTATCCCTTAGGGTTTCACACAACTCAAACAACAATGGCAGCGGCGACAGTGACCGCGGCCAAGACGGCCGACTCCTACATTGGGAGTCTCATTTGTTTGGTTTCAAAATCCGATATTCGTTATGAAGGTTTTCTTTTTCATCTCGACTCTCACGATTCCACCATTGGTCTTCGTAACGGTATACTACTTTTTTGCTCTCCTTCTCTTACTCTGATACTGATTTTTGTTCTTTTTTTTTTTTGGTTGTATCTGTGTCTTTTTTTAACGTTGTGTTTGTTATCTATGCCAATTCTTAGCGGTTTCGTGGTTTTCTTGTCTCGATTTTTAAACTACTGAGAAAGAATCATTCTCTTGTTAATTTGAAATTCTGTAGCGATTGTAGTGTGCATGTGTGTTATGTGAGTTCTGGTGATCAGCATTAGTAAATTGAATCCTTTTCTTATAGCTAGTATTACTGTTGTTATCAGTTATCATATTTTTTTCTGTTATAATTGAAGTTCTGTTCCAGAGGATATTGAAAGAAGGAAAAAAGATGTAAATTTTCCAAGAAAAGAAAAAATAAAGATTAAAACTTTTGAAATTATATGATAAAATATCCAATCACATGGACTGTACCAAAAGAAAATCAATCACATGGACTGTTCCAAAAGAAAATCACTCACATGGTTTTAAAGATTGGGGATGTAAGTCATCTAGTGTTGGGGAGGGAAAAGATAGGAAAATCGTATGAAGTGGAAAATGGAAAGCAGATAGCATTCAATCAAGGGGAGAGAGAGTAGGAGGGAAAAGGTTTCTATGGATTGCGCTTCGCAAAAAGAAAGATGACATGCAATGACAGTTCATTGCACTTCTCTTTCTCACTACTTTGTTAGGGCATATCCATGTATAGTACTTTGCATAAAAGAAGAGATTCAATGGAGCAAAGAGATAGGGAATGGGTCGTGGAAAGTTCCATAAACTATTCTTTCTCACTACTTTGTTAGGGCATGTGTAAAACATAACAGCACCAAGCAACATGATAGAGCTGCCACTTATAAACTAATTAAGAATCTTCAGAAGTTTAATGACACCGTAGGAATTCACCAAATTAGGAAGCAAACATCTTAGTAGGATATTCAATTATACCAAATGCAGCGGTATTCAATACCGGGAGTAACTTTGAGATGCATACATGTAATAGGATCATAGAGTCTACAACCTGCATCTCCTTTTCGAGCAAGATTCGTTATGTTGCCAATTTTTCTTTTGTCTTCTTCTACCATCGCAGTCCACATCCTTGTTTTGTCTGTGATTTGTGAATTTGGAAGCGGAGGTTGTCACGTAGATCAGAAGATCATGTTTGACTTGAAAGAAAGTGACATCTATAATTATTTTGAAATAAAGCATCTCTAATTATTACACAATTGGTAAACTGGAAATGTTAACTTTGTTTGAACATATATTAGACCAGGATTTTGCACACCATTCGAGACCAGCTTTGTGAATGCTTCTTTCCATCCATATAATGCACCATCTTTTACTGATATATATGCTTTACAATTTATTTTCTTCTGTGGTAGGTCTACTTGCTTTGACAAATCTGTTTTATTACTTCTATCCCATTTTGAATAACTGCTTTGAAGAGCCAAACAGTTCTTGCTTTTACCAAGACTGACTCATTTTTTTTCCAAATATTTCCAATTATTTAAGAGCATGGTTTAAACTATTCATTATTTAGCTGTAAACTTGAACTTCCATTCTCAAATAATGAATGAATCATCGTCCATAATTTACTTGTATATTTGATTATTAGATCCTTTTATGGTTCCTCAATACTTTGAATAACACCATTCATTCTGGGATGGAGGGAATAACATTTTCTAGAATTCTGTTCCTAAATAAGCTCATCTTAAGTTCTAGACAAGTTGGATTTTTGGTTACACTAAGGCTGGTATCTAAATGGAGAACAATAGAGGGGTGGGCCCATTATCCCCGGTTTCAAAGTCTGCAGTTGGTCCCAAGGGTTGGCCCCAGATGGATTTCTCGGTCATAAAAAAAGTGAATTTTTGGTTACTTCTATATATTTTTCAATATGTATATTGTGATTCGTGGTTAACTGAGTATTTATAGTTATCTAAGTCCATATTTAGAAACTAACTATGCATTTTCTCCTGATCATTTGGAAAATCCCGGAAGTCGTATTAGCTGATTTTTTTTGGAGAAAGGTTCTATGATATAATGTTAATTTGGAAATTGGCAAAGACATTTAAATTTAGTCATAAAAGTTTGCATCTAAAAGACTACTTGTAACATAGGGCAGAAAAAAGAAGTGAATGAAATGGCATATGATGTTCTTATGCTGCTTATAATCATATGAAGCATTTTATGGGACAAACCTCCCCATGATGTAAAACTAGGCCATCTATGTATTGGGTACTGGACGTGTTAGTATAGCCTCATATTAGGTGAATTACTTCTTCATGAAATTCACCACTGAAGTTTCGAACTTCCAAGAAATAAATCTTTTTCAAGATTCAACCATAAAAGGGTGGTGGTTTGGGTGGCGTTGGTTTGGTCATGCAGATTAAATGGAAGATCTTAAGGGTAACAATGGCGTGGTCTAGTGGTCAACAAAGTGGATGAAAACCATGGAGACCGAGTTTCAAATCTCAGCAGAGACAAAAAATACTATGTGATTTTACACATGCATAAGTCTTGGTAGGCAGAGTTACTCGGTACCATATTGATGGAAAGTAGCATGGACTTGGTGGAGTAGTCGAGGTGCTCTTAAGTCGGCCCCAACACTGCTTTTATAACAAAAAAATATGGAAAGGCTTATGGAACTTCTGTAGCCATCTGAGCATCGTTACACCCTAAATTCTGCATGATTCATGTATGCATAGGCGAATATGTACAAACATGCATGCCTAAGCAAAATGATTTGCGTGGTTGGTAAATGCTATTATAAAAAATAGTCATGATGTATTTTTTTCAAAAAATTGTAATGCGAGATTTTGAATCCTGGTGACTGATTGGTCTGTCATTGAATCGATATCTAATATGAGGTGCAGTCAATAAATGTAACTTAGAAAGTGTGAGCTCTTTTGGATTTTTGTATCTCTGCCAGTCTCCTTAGTAAGTGCTTAAAAGGAAGAATATTTGGATTCAGTTAATGAAGCTTCCAGTTGCTTTTAAGGCATGTCGACGAATTCAAAATCGAGTATGGTTAGAAATGAATGATAACTTCTAGAACTACTGTTTGGAAATAAAGCTCTCTCTTTATGTAAAGAAATTACAAATTTTCTACTACAGGCAACCCAAAAAAGCGAATCTTTTACTTACTGATCTCCATTTTGTCAAGCAATATGATGATTTTGTAGTTCCTGTATTTTGTTTGTTGCCAATCTACTATTGTGATATTTTAAATGTATCTAGTGTTATTCCTATTGATAGCAACTCAGTTGTTTGGCCAGCTTTATGTATTAGTATGGATTGGTTCTGGAGGCATAGAACATTGTTCTCATGTCAAATTTTTTGCTTCGTATCATGTAGACTTTTGACGCTTAAATAATCTATATCTGGCTGCAGTGAAATCTTTTGGGACAGAAGGACGAAGAACTGATGGACCTCAGGTCTCTCCGAGTGACAAAGTCTATGAGTTCATATTCTTCCGAGGTAGTGATATAAAGGTTAGCTCTACTTGTGTCTTTTACCTTTCTTACTTGACTACTAGGGTTTTTGAGGTGAATGGACTGTCTTCAAACAGTTTAGGATGTTGTGAAGCTGTTCTGATGGTTCGAATTGGCTTACTTGTTTTGTACCTTGTGCTTTCTATTACGATAAAAGACAGTTTTCCGTGTCTTCATCAGCCATTGATCATTCTATGAATAAAACTTGCTTTGAGGTGTAAAACATTGTTAGTTTTTTGTTCCATGAGAGAGCTGCTTTCAATATTCGCTTTGGTTTTTACTGGTTTTATTAATTTTTACTGTTTATTGGGTGATTAGCCAAGAAAACCGTTTTGCTTTATGCCCTCAAGACGAATATTTTATATATTTTATATATATGGTAAAGATTTTGACGAATTTGGTAATCTTATGATCCTCGTGATTTGAACCTCTTATCTTTCAGTTTGCTTGGTTGACGTTCCTTCACCCTATGCTTAAATTCTTTTCCCCGGATAAGTCAAATAGTTTTAGAGGAGATATACACCAGGATGGTGTTAGCTATACAAAATAGTTTAGTATAAATTTGGTTTTCGAATGTGGTGAGTAAAGAAGGTCTTGTCAAGCACTTGAAACTGCTGTTTTGTATGTTCATATCTCTATCCTGTTTTCTTCAAGTGCCACTTCCTGCATGCATTGTTGAGGATGTACCTTTGAGCTTGTCAAGAGACTAATTATTAGAAATACATGCAAGATTACCACCAGCTTGTATTAAGCCGAAACCACTAGTTTTCGTATAACTTTTTTTCCCTCTTTTTTAATCTGTGTTATTCTGGATTACAAGTTTTGGTTACTATATGCAGTTGTAGTACCAGCTGCTGTTGAGATAAAAACACTAGCTTTCATAGGAATATCTTGTGCTATCTTCGCGATTGTTAATTTAGTTATGCAGTAGTTAAAGGTATTCAAGAGAAATTTTGCATGACAAATCCTTACGTCCCTTTGTTATTCTTCTGCAGTTTTACATTCTCGTTCCAGTTGCCAGTTTTTACTGGCGCTTTTCCAAATTTCATGTTCATAGTTAACGATTTGCGTGCTTCTGATACTATTTCACTATCAAACTAAGCCTACTGATTCCCCTTGTCACTTCTTAAAATGCAACTCGTTTTAGAGGCATGAGACCTCTATAACCAGGGGTAGGGCAGGGTAGAGGGTATTGATGAAGTTGTGGTATATGCTATCCTTTTGAGAACTTTATGAGTTTGATTTGAAAATCATCACGTAGAAAGTTAAGCTCCATGACAATCAATTTTATTAATTTTGGGTTCGGAACTGTGTAATGTTTTGTGTCATTAGCTTTATGTATGCTCTCCAGTGAACAGCTTTGTAGGATGTTAACTTTAAGTTCTCATTTCTCAATAAAATTTATACTTCAGCTACACCTTAAAAGGTTGGTGGTTTAGGAGGCTATTATGAGATACTAAGGAGTACTGCTAGACAAAAGCATAACATTATGATAAGGAATAAAATTTCCAGCATAAGAAATACACAAGGACCTACAGATCAAACTAACTAGCACTGGAAAAAAGGATTTGAGAGGTGGTTAACCAGAAAGAAGAAAAAGATTATGCCATTATGGTTAGGAGAAGTAGGTATTAGAAGGTGATAGTTGTTCTATGAAGCGTGTTTCTCTTTTTTGGATGGAAAGCTCAAAATGTCAGAGACTGATATTGATAGTTCTGCTGTTGTCATATGCTTCTACGAATTGCCAGCTTGGAACTCCAACATTGGTCCTAAGCCCCTATATTGACTATGTTCAGGAGTTCAGCAGTCGGTCAGCCTATGTTCAAGAATAGCTAGCTAAGTTGATGAGAATCCAGTATTGCTGAACATGTTACGATCTAATCCTCGTACATACAACATATAACTTAAATGTATTCTTTTTAATATAGACCTCGGAGACCCATAAGAGCAGTATGGTTCATGAAAGATTCCTCTTAATAAGCCCATACTGTAGCAAGGATTGTATGCCTGAATTGGAAAAAGGGGAGGGAAAGTGCTCAGCTTTCTCTTCTTCTTTCCTTCTTTCATCTAAGCTGCATGGTAACATATGTTTCCATTCAGGGCTCCAATGGTAAGAAAGAAAGAGATCTTCCTGGTTGTTACATCAGGTGGACGCTGAAAGTGGTATTGAAAGGCAGGCATCGAGTGGGTGATATTTGGGTTTGTTATCAGTGTTGGTGAACATAACATCCTGTATATATCGTTTTTTAATCTACCCACAATTTGGTTTTGTAAGAGGAAGACGTGATAGAAAAGATATTATTTGCAATGTTTATGTGAAACTTATGGCTCGGAATAGGGAAGAAGTCTGAAGGAGGAAAAAAGTGACTTCTTGTTTTCAGTTGGCTGAAATGAAATTTGAATTCTCTGGAAGAGCTTGAAGGTTTCATTGATGAAAATTCGATTGAATCAACAATAGCTATATGCTTTACTATAAAGATTTCTTTCTTTTCTTCTGAGAACATGATCTCATTCTGAATCTCTCTTTCCCTTTTGTCTTGAGTTTCCCAGGATCTGCAGGTTATATCTTCTCCACCACCTCAAAGTACATCAGCTGTTCCCGATGATCCTGCGATAATACGGGTATATTCATCTCTATGCGGATTAGTTGTTCTGATTACATCATGGAGACTTGTCTAACCTTGTGCATGTGAATTCTTTGCAGTCTCATTTTCCTCAACCCACACCTACAACTATGGCCTCAACATCTCCTAGTGCTGCAACAGTAGCAAATGTTAGTACCAGTGCACAACCCATTCTCCCTGTTACACCTTTCCAGTTGAATCTGGCCCGTGACCCATTGACATCAAGTTCTAGCCTTTCGGGCTCATCGCTCCCTCCTCCACCTGTAAATATCAGTCGACCTGCTGTGCCTAATTATTGGCCAACATTAATTGGGTCCTCAGGAGGAGTTTCTCATTTTCAACAGCACTGTTTTCCCCCGCCGCCACAGAGTTTGGTGGCCTCACTCCCCCCGGTTCAGCAGCAAGTGCAGTACCAAAATGTAAATGCATCTGTAGCTGGAGTATCCAGCTTTTCTGGACACCATCACCCTTTGCTGCTGACTGGTACTACCAGCTCCCCAAATACACTGCCTCCCTTGCTGCCAACACCATCTGTTCAATCCAATCCCGGGCAGTTTGCTAAACTGGTGTCTAATTTGTCGTCTATTCCAATGCCAAATAATGGATCTAGTGCTCTTTCAAGTTTGGCAGTGGATCCTGGCCCAAAAATGGCATCTCCTTTGCCAGAAGTACTTAATGCTACTCCGGCTCCGGTAACTAATGCTACTCCGGCTCCGGTAACTAATGAATCGAGTTCAGTTGATCTGACAATCTCTCAAACTGTAACATCTAGTGGAGAGACAACAGGTGTATCTTTCAGCAAGCAGTCAAAACTATCTCCCATGACAATTGAGGAACAGTCAGGACTGAAACAATCCTCTTCGTATCAGTCACTGCAGACCACGCATATCAATGCAAAGACTGCTCAAGCATCAGTAGTGGTACCTCTGCCATCAGATAGCACAGAAAAAACCATGGAGTCATTGCCGAAATCCACAACTAAAACTGTATGTCCACTCTTTCTTCCCTCAGTTCCTGCTTTGTTCTTCCTCATATGATATGATGTGGCCACTTATAGTAGACAGATGAGCTGATATCATCTCTTTCCCTATTATTAAATTATGTTTCGCGTGCAAACCATATTTTGTTCCTTGTCAATAATCAGTTAAATCATAACTATTGCTGATCAGAAAACAACCAAGTTTATTATTGTTGCTTGCAGTTACTTGTAAACTACATTAAGGTTAAAAAAAATGAAAGTAGCAAATAATAACCAAAATTGTTCTTCGATACTATGAAATTCAACATGTAAGCATCTTCCTTGCTTCGTACTTTAACACTTAAAAAAAGTTTGACCCTCAGGTTAGTGCATATAATAAGCCATAAGCTGACTCCTTTCATGGAGGGAGATTCTATTATGTGTTTCTGTGCTTGAAAACTCCCCCTTTTCTCTTTCTTCACCCTCTTTCCCTCTTCTAATTGCTTCGATCACATTGTCTTGAAATAACACTAGTCAATATTCTTTTACTTCTTTCGGTGCTTGACAACACCCTCTTTATCTTTTTTCCTACCTTCTCCTTCTAGTCGCATGGATCTACTTCATCTCATCATTATAAAGGTCAGTTTGCTCGGGGAAGAGATCAGGTAATTCTCTCTTTTGTTTCCATTTTCATTTCACACATATCGCATATCTCTATTAGTGATATGTGTCTTATAGGACGTTTTTATGCATTCAGGCTCATCGAGACCCTGCATCCACTAATCTTAGTTATAGAGGCCGTGCACGAGGAAGGGGATATGTGGTAACTTAAAAAACTTGTTTGACTTCTTTGAATTGCTAGTTTAAACTGGTGTTTTGGCCTGTTTTTAATAGAGATGCCAACCTGCGGGTGGTAGACAAACTCCATTTCTGTCTCACTTTCCTTGGTGCCAAGCCAAAAAGAGAGTTCAAGGTTTTCTATACTCTGAAGTGACTTTTGCTCTTTCTTGTAATTCGTTTCAGGCAAATGGAGTTTCTTTATCCGTACATCAAAGCTCAAGAAACCAGGCGGTTGGAAGAGGAAATGAGGTAAAGTTTATTAGGTTTAGAACATGTCTGTTTTTTCATTACTACCATACTTTACATGCATTTTGGCTAACTAGTAGTGAACCATCTGATGACTTACTCTTAATTGTAAGGTAAGTAACATAAGTGATTATTACTTTTTCCCCTCTCAGCTTGTTGGGGCTGCTTTACTTCCTCATCAGAGTAGAGGAAGAGGGTTAGTCCAGTTGGATATGTTTCTGTCTTCTCCTTGTTTATTATCTTATCCCATTTCTTCAGATAAAATGCCTCTTTGTTTTAGGTTTTCCTTTTTGATGGTCAAAGTTCTCTACTTGTATTGTCTTGCGTGGCCTATTTCTGTTCTCTTTTTAAATTTTCAGAGTTGTCTACTTGTCTTCGCCTTATTGTGCATATGACATCCTCCTTTTTCCCCTTTCCACAGTTCCCCCTAAATGGTGTTCCTTTGCGCAATCATGGCGATGCTGGAAGTCATATTCGGGGACGTGGAGCTAAGGTGACCATTGTTTGAGGAATTCATCTCATTGAGTATTCTTGACTAGACCTTTTATTAAAGAAAAATATTGAGTAGACATGCTATCCTTGAGGAGCCCTGGTAGCGATACTTTCTGGACTTCATTTTCAAGTTTTACTGCATGGAACAACTTAAGCCTTATGCAATTCTGTTATGTCAAATTTCCTTATTTTGATGTACCCGCCTGTTTAATCCACTTCTCTTGGTCCAAAATTTCATTCTTGTCTCACATGTACATTTTCTATTTTCTACCATGGTTACGTTCAAAGTATCACTATAGATTCTTGTCACATATGATAACTAATTGTGGCAAGTTTTATGATTTCCCTTCTTCCATATATTGTTATTGTGAAACACTTGTTTGCTCGCTCCTTTTCAAATCTATTTGCTTTCCTTATAAACAACACATAGCTTATTTGGATACATATCCTGTTTCTTCTTAAAGCCTACAGTTCAGCCCCACCCCTCTCCTTAGCGGAGATTCCTTTTTTCTTTCAAATCTTTTGCAAATAGGAAAAGGTGAGCGCTTAGTATTGCTCTCTTCCTTGATTATTTTCTTGTTCGTTTGTTAACAATATAGTCTCACATCTTTACCCAGTATAACTTTTGTTTTTCAGATTCAGCATCCCCGTGTCAAAACAAGATTTAAGGAGGATTTTGATTTTGAGGCGATGAATGAAAAGTTCAATAAGGAAGAGGTGTGGGACTTACTCGGTAAAAATAACAAAGCTGAATCAGATGACGGAAATGAGGATGACAAAGAGATGGATGGTGTTAAGGGTGAAGCCAGAGAAGCACATGTAAGAGAAGATAGCAAGGTAAGCTGGTGGAAATTCACACAAGTTAATTTATAAGTTGTCTAAGGTTTCTTATCCATGCATGCTCTGTGCACGTGGCTTTTCTGTCTGGTTATTTATTAACTTCCTATTTATTCTGCAGCCCGTTTACAGTAAGGATGACTTCTTTGATTCTCTTTCTTGTGATGCACTTGATCATGATTCTGGGAAAGTGAAGCTCTCTGAACAAAGGAAAAAAGATGCTGAGGTAATGACCTCATTCTTTGGCCCACATGATTATAAATGCTTATCATTTTTCATTCCATTAAGCAACTTGTTAATGTGTCCCAGACATTTGGAGAGATCCCAAAACCTCAACGAGGTCATGGACAGGGACCACGCTGGGCTGGGGCATCTCAAGGCTCATATCGTGGCAGAGGACATGGCACTACACGAGGTGGTCGCGGTCGTGGAAGAGCAGTTTGGGGCCGTGTCAGTTAATATGAGCTTCCATGTTGCTGCTGCAGGTGGCAGGTCCTCAGATGTAAAACCACCCTGCAATACCTAGTTGTGCGACAACTTTTGGTCGCGTTTAATTCAATATTATGGTTTAGTAAAATAAATATGGTCGAAAGATAGACTTCTATTCGACAGACTTTTATTTTATTATGGTAAGAACTATTTAAAGCTGTAGGACTCTGGTAATCATAGAAGTATGTGATCAGCGGTAAATGGTCAGCTGATACCATAACTTCTTGAGAAGAGGAAGACACAGCTGTTCTTCTACCCTTTTTACGAATAAAAGGGGAAAATAAATAAACAGTTAGAGCTGCATGAGAAACTGACTGGTGATCGGTTGTTGCATGAGGAGGGAGACCTAGTTGGACTTTGGCTACTTAATTACAATAAATTTGAAAGATGTTAGCATAACAATTTACTTCCAGATGATGACGATACTGGATGTGACCATATTTCTTTCTTTTAGTGGAACATTACAGATTTTTCTATAATTTACAAAAGAAATAACTCTAAGTTTGTTTGCAAAAAGAGCTCAAGAAACAAAGTTTTCAAAAACTCAAAAGAATTAAATTTTGCCATATCTTTTAAACAATTCTTAATATCCTGTGTAGACAAGAACTTTAAAGAGCCATTTCCTCTTTGACATGTTCCTTCCAACTTGGCAAGTTAGAGAGCTTACGGCCAGATAGTAGGGATTTGTGAAGATTGGTTTGCTTTCTTCTCGACAATCGTCACTTTTAATTAGCTTTTTCCCTTTTAAACAGAAAAAGCAGTTCATATTATATTAATAAGATCCATGTAGAATATTAAAACTAGTATGTTCTTTTTGTTTCTTCTTGGTGGATTAGAATATAAGAGAAAGCATCACTATTATAATATGATTGTGTTGGCTTAATTAATTTATACGAACGTCACTCTCTCCCTCTCAAGCATCTTTTCTCCACTGATGAAAAATTACTATATGCAGAAAAGTTTATAATCAAATCGAAGAGACAAGTAGGACAACATTTAATTAAAAAGGTTGTCTAAATTAGTGAAGATAAACAGCATATAATTACTACAGCAAATGGCTTGTACCCTTTGTACTTAAAGATCTCTAGGTTAATTTTTCGACAAAAAAAAAAAAAAAAACTATCCAAATGCCACTGAGATTCATATTTAAAGCTAAAGTCCTGTGATTAAAGAACAATAAATGAAATTATGCAAATCAGGTTTTATTACAAAAATGTTGAATGGAGATAAATTATACTACAGTTTCGAAAGACAAGCCATGGTATGTAGGTCACTCTCAATTTCGATTGTCTACGAAAATGTTACAAAATTCTCATAAGAAGTTAAACATACAGTAGATAAAATTCTTAGATCCATCGCAAAAGACAAGCCACTTTATCTAAGGTCATTTTCAAAGTGAGTGTTTTCATAAGAATAATAACAACTGTAGGTGTATTTAAAAAGTTTTTCTTTATGTCAAAATAAATGGCGAGCCTGGAACCAAGGAAAAAAGAAATGGTGAAAGAGGACAAAGGAGTAAGAACCAAAAACACAGAACCACAGTTTACTGACGATGTTGCTGTTTTTCTCTCGTCACTCCACTTGTTTTTATAAGGACAAGAGTGATGCGTGATGCCCCCACTCCCACTACACTCCAACCGACGTTGCCGTCGTTGATAAAGGTAAAAATTTATTTGCATCAAATATTTATATTAGAATCGATCGTAAGGAATTTTTAATTTAACTTAATATTTTAAAGTTAAATTATTTAATTTAGTATAAACATCGAGTTTCATAAAATATTTATTACGAACAAGTTTAAATTGTAGTCATTGACCTATAAAAAAAAAAAACATTTCCCCGGTCAAAATGCACTACATATAAATGTCCAAACCATAATATATAGGTCGAAATTTTACCAAAGAGGGTGTGCAATCCTCTAGTTACATTGAACTTGTCACAACATTTTACACGCTTAAATGCAGTACTTCTAATACTTTCCTCTCATTCGTTAAATGGCAAATAATTGTCTTAACGTCATATATAGTATTGACATTGTTGTGTATCTTTTTACTTTAAACTTCATTTCCACGAAAACAAATGTTGCATGATCAATGTAGAACATCATTTTCATGTATTATGTATTGAACGATTGAGAGCCTCTTAAAAGCTAATACCATGATATCTACATGAGTAAATGCTTTATGTTCACGTTAAACCCCATGTTGTATCCGAGTCTATCAAATCTCTAGTAATCTTTTTCACCTTAAATGGTAAAAGTACACATACACACACAAATATTAGTTTGGGCACAGAACAGAAGTTTGGTGCATAAATTGGACTAAATTAAAGCTATTAAACCCAGTAATTATGGTAAGCTTTACAAATAGCCTAATGTTTTTCCATTTGCAGTATTAAAACATATTAAGTTATAACAACTAGAACTTTCATTTCATATATGTAAGAGAAAAGACACATGAGATTATCAATTAATAACCACCCAAAGGGAAAGGAGGGAGAATTAGAGTATTCCAGATTATAACCCCTCCATTTCTCGAAAGATTTTAAGTTATATATGTACAGATAGGGGTGTCAAAATGGTTAAAGAAAATAATTATGTCAAAATCAAGCTAGATCTGCCATGGACATGGAGGCAGGATCAAGCTACATCTGCCATGGACATGGAGGTAAGATCTAGTGAGAAGAGAGGAAATGCAGAAAGTAAAGTAGAGGATCGAAGAGAGAGAAACATTGTATATCTTTTCTTTCTCACATTACTGCATTGTACTAGAGTATGGTTTATATATACAAAACTACTAATTTGTCTTAACTAATTAACTAATAGAGTCACCTAGAAGTTTACATGTTAAATAGCACAATGTACAAGTACCCTCAACTAGACTTTACATCTCTACACTCCCCCTCAAGTTGAGAATAAAAAATATTTTTCATTCCCAACTTGGACAACAAAAAAGCATGCTGCTGATGCCCAAGAGGCTTTGTCAAAATGTCTGCTGGTTGTTGTTGACTTGGTATGTGAGAAGTTTCAATCAGCCCCTCTTGTATATTTTCTCTTATGAAGTGACAGTCTATTTCGATGTGTTTTGTTCTCTCATGATACATAGGATTAGCTTTGTTATTGCAGAACAACTTCATTGGCAACTTCACATCCATTCTTAATTCTTTCAGCAAGCCATTAAGCCAAACCAACTCTGTCACTATATATGCCATGCTTCTATATTCTGCTTCAGCAGAACTTCTAGAGATAGTGCTCTGTTTCTTAGCTTTCCAAGAGATCAATGAATCGCCTAGATTAATACAGTAGCCAATCACAGATTTCCTTGTCATGGGATAAGATGCCCAATCAGAGTCACAGTAAGCTTCAATCTGTTGTGTCCCTTTGCTTGACATGAGGATTCCTAGACCTGGTTGTCTCTTTATGTATCTGACTATATGTAGAGCTGCCTCATAATGGGATCTCTTAGGTGCATGCATGAATTGACTTAGGCATTGAACTGCATAAGAGATGTCTGGTCTACATATTGTGAGGTATAAAAGTTTTCCGATTAACCTTTGAAAACTCCCCCTGTCTTCCAGTATTTCATCAGAGGTGTCAGCATTTATACTTTTGTCAAATTCTGTACGTTTGAGCTACATATTCTGCTCCATAGGTGTATCTTTAGGATTTGAACCTGCTAATCCCACATCTGAGATCAGTTCAAGTGCATATTTCCTTTGTGACATCAGTATTCCCTCTTTAGACCTTGCAAACTCTATCCCTAGGAAGTATCTTAACTCTCCTAGGTCTTTTAACTTGAACTTCTGGTGTAATGCAGCCTTTGCATTCTGAATCTCCTCTAGAACATTTCCTGTTACAAGTAAATCATCTACATATACTAGCACAAGCACAAACTTATATTTGTCAGCCTTGGTAAATAGTGAATAATCATGTTTGCTTTTAGTAAAACCAGATTCTTTGAGAGCTTAAGTTAGTTTCAAATTCCATTGCCTAGATGCCTGTTTTAGACCATATAAGGACTTTAGTAGCCTACATATGCTATGCTTCCCCTGGCTACTAAAGCCTTGGGGCAGGGACATGTAGACCTCTTCCTCAAGATCACCATTGAGGAAGGCATTATGAACATCCATTTGAAGGACAGACCAGCCCTTAAGGGTTGCAGTAGCAACTACAGTCCTGACAGTAGTTAACTTGGCCACGGGGGAGAAGGTATCATGGAAATCCAGACCTTCTTGTTGTGTGTAGCCCTTAGCAACTAGTTTGGCTTTGAACCTTTCTACTGAACCATCTGCATTATATTTAATTTTGTACACCCATTTGCACACAATGAGGACCTCACTAGAAGGTAGATCCTCTACTTCCCATGTGTGGTTTTGCTCAAGAGCCTCAATTTCCAATTGCATGGCTTTAACCACCTAGCATCCTTACTAGCTTGAGAGAAAAAGGAGGGTTCAGTATCAGAAGAAAAAGAAGCAAAGAATGACCTAAAATGTGAGGGTAGGTGGGAATAGGAAAAAAATTGTTGAATAGGATAGGAAGAAGAAGAAGAAGAAGTAGTGGGTAAGGGAGGATGTACATAATCAGTCAACCAGATAGAAGGTCTGGTGACCCTCTTCTAGGTTGATCAAGAGTGGTAGTGATAGGAGTAACAGAGGTAGGAGAAGGGATAGGAGAGGTTGGCATAGTGTCAGGTGAAATAGTAGGTAATGATGGAGCAGGGAAGATAGGTGAAGACTCAATGGGAGAATCTGAATCAAGGGAAGGTGCAGGTATGGGGTTGAGAGGAGGTTCGGGATGGAAAGAAGGAGGAGAAGATGCTTTGGAAGGAAGGAAATGAGATCTCGAAAATTTGAAGGGAAAAATATGTTCTTTGAATACAACATCTTTATTGACAAAAAACTTTCCAGACTCAATGTCATAGAGTCTGTAACCCTTTTGATGTAAAGAGTAACCCATGAAGATAGCAGGCCAAGACTTGGCAAAAAATTTATCACTGTAATTGGGTCTTGTGGCATAACACAAACATCCTAAAGTTCTCATATGATGCAGGTTAGGAGGACGACAATGAAACAACTCATAAGGAGTGTTTCCATTCAAAACAGTACTGGGTAGCCTATTAATGATATAGGTTGCTGCTAGAACACATTCACCCTAATATTTAAAGGAATGTGAGCTTGAAATCTTAAAGCTCTACTAACTTCAAGAAGGTGTCTGTGTTTCCTTTCCACTACCCCATTCTGTTAAGGGGTGTGTACACAACTACTTTGATGTATAATTCCTTTGGATTTGAAAAGAGTGCAACAAAGTGTGTTGGCCCAAGTAAAGGTTAGTTTTGAAGACTGACAAAGGAACTCAGACATGAACCAGGTCCATCCCGCAGGTCCATCCCTCAGGTGTACAAAAACGGGCAGATTCAAGCATGTGG